CACGGAGCGGCTGGGCCCGTGAGCCATGGCTGCTGAGCCTGCGCGTCCGGAGCCTGTGCTCCGCAACGGGAGAGGCCACAACAGTGAGAGGCCCGTGTACCGCAAAAAAAAAAAAAAAGAATTAAGTTAAATTTGGGCATTACCTGCTCCTGTACATCCTCAAAGTCCGAGTTAAGCAGCTCTATAAAAATGGGGACAGCCCCTGCTTCAATGACAATTTTGGTCTGCTGAGAGGTTCCAGAGGCAATGTTCGTTAGAGCCCAGGCAGCTTCAAACTGAAAGTGAGATTAAAGCCATGAGTGAGAGGTCATTCCAGATGAGCAGCCGTGCCTACTAGCTGGCTCAGCAATAAGCCTCCTGCCCTGACTTAAAAACAAAAACAAAAAACCACACAAGCCTTTCCCTCTCCACCTTTAAATGATAGGAAGAGGTACTGGCAGTGATATAACATAATGGGGAGACAGAATTGGGCTTCCATGGTCCCAGGTCTAGTCCTGCACTACCACAGCATCCATGAGTCCTTTGGCAAGTCACGTTTTTATTTCCCGAGCTTCACTTTATTCATCTCTGAAACCAGGATAAGAGTGAGATGGGTCTCTAAAAGTCCCTTTCAGCCAAGTTTCTAGTAAGTTCCAATGGATTGACTCATTACCCATCTGTGAGAAGAGAGACCCAGAGAAGATAAATGGTTCACCTCAGGGTTAGGAGTGGACTAGAACCTCTAGGGTTGGCCAAAAAGTTCGTTCAGGTTTTTCTGTAACATCTTACGGAAAAACCCGAACGAACTTTTTGGCTAACCCAATATACTTATATTTATAATTTAAAATATAACCTCTGAATAATCAGTCTGTCATATTCTGGTATCTTTCCTTTGAGATTGTTTTAGGGAAGAGTTTGTGGGTCTCTTATTTAATTGAGGTCAAGACCTCTGAGGTAACAGCATCTCTTAAATGTTCCCTCAATATCTTGTGTATATCCTAAGAGATGTGTCTGTAGAAACATGCCACTATAATTTCTTGGCAAAAGGGCTTTCATCTGGTAACTCTCCATCCCAGGCCTCACCTGTAATGTACAATTCTCATTCCTCTTCAGAAACTCCACAAACCGATCCACCACTCCTGGAGTATTGATAACTTCATCTATTGGAGGACTAGGTTCTGGAAGAGGGAGAGGAAAAGTCAGGAGAGGCTCTGACTAATGCTTTCACGGGGGTAAGTCCACCATCCTTCCTAGATACTCCTGACTATGCTTCTAAACATTCCCAAACTCCTTTTTGGTGAGGTAGTTTTAACAATAGCTGGTCATGGGGCTTCCCTGGTGGCGCAGTGGTTGAGAATCCGCCTGCCAATGCAGGGGACGCGGGTTCGATCCCTGGTCCGGGAAGATCCCACATGCCGTGGAGCAACTAAGCCCGTGCGCCACAACTAGTGAGCCCGCGTGCCGCAACTACTGAAGCCTGTGCACCTAGAGCCTGTGCTCCACAATGAGAAGCCACCGCAATGAGAAGCCCACGCACTGCAATGAAGAGTAGCCCCCGCTCACCGCAACTAGAGAAAGCCCGCATGCAACAACGAAGACCCAACACAGCCAAAAATAAATTAATAAATAAATTTATATATATATATAAAAAAACAATAGCTGGTCATTTTTGAACTGTGTAAAATAGCTGAGATGCCAAAGAGTAAAGCCAATCCTAATTTAACTATGCTCACCTTTGGCTTCCTAAACCTAAGCAAGTAACTAACCTTACTTACCTAAGCAAGTAAAGAATTAAGGGAGAGAAGACCAAGGGAGGAGCAACCCTAGTCTAAACGCTTCCCTTCCAAGACCAGCATTCTTTTCTTGGGAGGAAGAAAAGTCAGGGAGTATTTTTCCCATCATACATCAAATTTTTACTGAGCACAAACTATGTGCCAGACATGGTTCTGGGTACCGAGGATACAGTAGTGAACAAAAGCAAAAGTCTACACCCTCGTACAGCTTATATCCTCGTGATGAGAAATATCCTGTTATGTTAGAAGGCAGTAAGTGTAATGGGAAAAAAAAAGAATAGGTAGGGCAGGGTAAGGAGACTGAAAATGCTGCAGGGGTGGGGGGAGCTGCAATTTCTGATAGCGTGTCAGGGTAGGCTTTACTGAGAAAGTAGGATCTGATCATAGAAATGTAGCAGCTGTCACACAGTTATCTGCAAGTAAAGGATATCAGGCAGGGGAAATAGTGCAAAGGTAAGAATGTGCCTGGCTTGTCCAAGGACACCAAAGCCAGTAGGGCTACAGCAGAATGAGTGAAAGGGAATAGTTGATGAGGTCAGTGAGAAGAAACAAGACGCTAGAGTCACGCAGGGCCCCCTGCGGAAGACTAGGCTTTGTACCTTTGGAGAGCAGTTTCCGGAATTTCTGTGTGGTTGCTAATTGCAGGTCAGAATCGTCAGAAAAGAGCATCTCCACCATCTCTCTTGTGATCACGCTCTCCTAGAACATAAAACAGGTTCACAACTTTGCAAACCAATACTAGAGCCACATATGAGCCCATAATCCTGTTTGGAATCCTCCTTTCTAAAGACTTGAGGGCAAGAGGAAGGGGTTAACAGCAGGCTCAGAAGGTGTTTAATCCACAGCTGCTTCAAGTTGGAACATTTGGAAGTGATTCTTAACCTCTGAGGCAATTGATAGCTTCCCTTAAATGTTTCCTCTGGTGTTTCCATCAGAGATGAATCCTTACTGACTCCTTAAGTTGACCAGCTACAAAAGGGCCCATGGAATAAAGAGCTTAGCATGGTTGTTGGTAAAGCTAACTAGATGATGTGAACTGACCAATTTCTGTTCTGTAGAAGCAGGTACTTCCCAAGCTTGCCTGGGAAGCTTGCAAGGGTCTTACCCCAGTGGTAGAGCTCACATAGGAGTCCATGAGGAGACTATCGAACATGGCGGCTTCTTCATTAATCAGCTCCACGTTTCTCCGTTTAAAAAGCTGAAAATAAAGAGAAGAGACGGTGGTAAGACTTCTTACCGAAACAAAGAAAACAAAGTATGACCCAATGTTAAATTATGGCATAACTGTCAAGGAATGCTACTGTATGAGAAAATGCCAAGCTTAATATACTGATGTGGAAAGATATTCAAGGGCTTTACTTTCTATGTTATAGATTGTTTACATTTTTATAAGCAAAAAAAAATCTTTTAAAATTCCTGTGCCCTTTGTATAAAAGGTGATGCATATAAAAGGCTGTGAAGGAAAGAAATAATGGTAAAGCAAAAGGGTGGGCAAAAGCAGGTTAGCATCTAGACCTGGGCAAGGAACCAATTTGGTGGTGGCGTGTGGTGCATGGTGCATGGCAGAGTGTAGACGATGAGGCATTAATACAATCTCAGTTCTAGGGAGACTTACAAAGAATGGACTCAAGAAAGAGAAGTAAGGCAGCCCAAATGGCTGACAAAATTCTTAAAGGGCCAGGCTTGGGGCTGGGCCTTGACAGCCAGATCTAACAGTGACTACTGGGTAAAAACAAGGGGTTAGCACTAGAATGTTATATTGAAGATATAAATGATGTCCAAGTTGTTCTAAATTATGGAAAAGGAATAAGGGACAGTTCTTTCTCAAAGTTCCAAAATTTCTTTACAACAAAGGAAGCTGGATGAGCGGCCCACAGAGATAAGCTACTTTCCCAAGAGGAAAGTGAGAGTGCAAGGTGGAGGTCAACCATGGTGGCTGGCCTGCCTCCCTGAAGAGCACGTTTGAGAATACTTGGGCTAACCCACTTGTTGCTCCCGTTTCTGCTTCCGGAGCTGAATGCCCTCCTCCTCTCTTCTTCGCCTCATTTCCTCAGGGTTTAGGGCATTGTTCTTATAGCTCTTCATTCGATAATTGTCTTTCCCTGGGCTCGCCATGGTCTCTGGAAGAAGGGAAGATACAAACATATTGGCAAAGGCTCTTAGGAGGACAGCATTTCCTTCTCACTGGCTTCTTTCCCTACCCACCCTCCCCTTCTCAGGGGGACTCACAGGTTCCCAAGGAGGCCTAATAATCTCGGTAACTGCACCTGACATCTCTAGTACCACCCACACACAAACAACACAGTCTCCTTTAATCATAACAAACTTATTAAGTAAGTGCTATTATAGCAATTGATATAAGCAGAGGAGTTAAAAGGTGTAGGCTCTGGAGGCAGATTGTGTGGGTTCAAATACCGGCTCTTCTACTTGTTAGCTGTGCAACTTTCAACAAGTTGCTTTAACCTCTATGCCTCAGGAGCTCATCTTTAAAACAGGGATATAATAATTCCTATTTCACAGAGCTGTTAGAAGGATTATATAGCTTAATACCTGAGCACGGAGTTGTTAGAAGGATTATATAGCTTAATACATGCAAAGTACTATTTAGAACAACAGGCATATGGTAAATGCTCACAAGCTATGATCACTTCTATGACAAGACAGAAAAGTTATATGACTTGCCCAATAAACTCAAATATATTTAACCTACCCAGGTGATATACGTTATTTTGTACCCAATTCAGTGGAATACCATGTATTTTTTTTTAATAACTCATGTGGCCACCCATCTATATTTTAAAGAAATTTAAAATTTTATTCTGTAATATGTGCTACATACAAAAAGATGAAACATAATGTAAAGTTACCAAGCAAAATAATACAATGAGCATCTGTCAACTCACCACTAAACCTAAGAACTAGATTATTAATATGCCTGAATCTAGTAGTAGGGTCTTCCCCTATCCCAGGCCCCTCCATCCCCACTCCAACTCCAGCCAAAAGAAAACGGCTATGATGAATTGTCATCTTTACTTTTGTTTTTATCAATCACATATATGTTTACCCCTAAATATTGTATCATACTATGTTTAGTCTACTGAGAATTGTCGCCCCTCCACTGGGTTTTTGTTTTTTTCTTTTTGCGGTACGCGGGCCTCTCACTGTTGTGGCCTCTCCCGTTGCAGAGCACAGGCTCCGGACGCGCAGGCTCAGCGGCCATGGCTCACGGGCCCAGCCGCTCCGTGGCATGTGGGGTCTTCCCAGACCGGAGCACGAACCCGTGTCCCCTGCATTGGCAGGCGGATTCTCAACCACTGCACCACCAGGGAAGCCCCCTCCACTGGGTTTTTAAGATTCACCCATGTTTTTGCATGGAGCTGTATTTCTTTAATTTTTCCTATGTCATATTATTTTACTGTATAAACACATCATAATTTATTCGCATTTCCCTGATGATTAGTGATGTTGAGCATCTTTTTCATCAAACTGTTGGCCATTTATACGTTTGCTTTGTAAAAGTGTCTATTCAGGTTCTTTGCCCATTTTTAATTGCATTATTTGTGTTTTTTTGCTATTGAATTGTGTGAGTTCCTTATATATTTTGGATATTAATCCCTTATCAGATATATGGTTAGCAAATATTTTCTCCCATAGCCTGCCTTTTCACTTTGTCGACCATTTCTTTTGCTGTACAGAAGCTTTTAAGTTTTCTAGTTCAAGCTTTCTCGTTTATGTGATCCTACTTATTTATTTTTGCTTTTGTTGTTTGTGCTTTTGGTGTCATATCCAAAAAAATCATTGCCAAGACCAAGGTCTTTTTTCCTGTGTTTTCTTCTAGGAGTTTTAACAGTTTCAGGTCTTACAATTAAGTCTTTAATCTATTTTGAGTTGGCAAATAACACCTTAGTCTTCACTTCTCAGACCCTCTGAAATAGTCTGCAGAACATACTTTGAGAACCCCTGCTCTAAGGAATGAATTGCTGGGTTTAGGCAAGTAGATGTTAAACTTCACCAGATAGTACCACATTGCCTTCCAATGTGATGCCAATTCACACTAGCTCAGCAATACGTACCAGGTTCCCACTGATGTATATCCTATTACTCAGAATTATCACTTTTGCCAATCTAATGAGTATAAGGTACTTCACTGGGATAATGATTTGCATTACTAATAGGGTTAGATTTTATGTTTATTAGTCATGTTTCCCTTTCTGTGAAAAATGTCTGTTTATGGTACTTCGAATATCTTTCAATTGAACGACTTGTCCTTTTCTTATTGATTTATAGTTCTTTAGATATTCTAGTTATTAACCATTTGTTAGTTATTTGTATTACAAACATCTTTTAGGAGTTTGTATCTTTTCATTTTTTGCAATTTTCACTTTATGGAGTTCTTTAACAAGTTCTTAATTATAATGTAGTTAAATTTTTCTTTAATACTTAGCTTTTTCTGTGTGTCTTGTTAATAAATCCTTTCACGCTCCCAAGGTCAGAAAGATACCCTCTCATGTCTTCTGAAAGTTTTAAAGCTTGCCCTTTACATGCCAGTGTTTCATATACATGAAATTTGATTATTTGTGTATAAGCTTTAGGAAGTTAACACAAAGTCTGAACATTAATGACTTAGGTACACAGGTTAGGAAAAAAAAAGAAAGAGAAATCATACAGCAGAGAGAATCAACAAGGCAAAACTTGGAACTTTCAAAAGATGAAAAATAGTCAAGTCTCTGGTGAGATTTCTCAAGAACAAAAGAGGACACAATGTTAGGTAACTAAAGAGACTGAAAAGCGAATATGAGCAACTTTATGCTAGCTAACATGTTTGAAAAGACAAATTCCTAGAATAATATAACTTGCCAAAAGTGACTCAAACAGAATGTGACTAGCCTTATAACCATTAAATATACTGAATCAGCACTAAAGAATATTCCCACAAAGAAAATGCCAGGTTTAAATGGTTTTACAAATGAGGTTTTTAAATAAATAAATTTATTTATTTATTTTTGGCTGCATTGGGTCTTTGTTGCTGTGTGCGGGCTTTCTCTAGTTGCAGCGAGCGGAGGCTACTCTTCATTGCGGTGTACGGGCTTCTCATTGCAGTGGCTTCTCTTGTTGCGCAGCACGGGCTCTAGGTGCGTGGGCTTTAGTAGTTGTGGCTTGCAGGCTCTAGAGCTCAGGCTCAGTAGTTATGGCACATGGGCTTAGGTGCTCCATGGCATGTGGGATCTTCCCGGACCAGGGCTCAAACCTGTGTCCCCTGCACTGGCAGGCAGATTCTTTTTTAAAAAATTAATTAATTAATCAATTAATTTTTGGCAGTGTTGGGTCTTCGTTGCTGCTCACAGGCTTTCCCTAGTTGCGGTGAATGGGGGCTATTCTTTGTTGCGGTGTGCGGGCTTCTCATTGCGGTGGCTTCTCTTGTTGCGGAGCACGGGCTCTAGGTGCGCAGGCTTCAGTAGTTGTAGCACGTGGGCTCAGTAGTTGTGGCTCGCGGGCTCTAGAGCGCAGGCTCGGTAGTTGTGGCGCATGGGCTTAGTTGCTCCGCAGCATGTGGGATCTTCCCAGACCAGGGTTTGAACCCATGTCCCCTGCATTGGCAGGTGGATTTTTAACCACTGCGCCACCAGGGAAGTCCTGGGCTTTCTTTTTTTTCCCATAAATGTATTTATTTATTTTTGGCTGTGTTGGGTCTCCATTGCTGCACGTGTGCTTTCTCTAGTTGCGGTGAGCGGGGGCTACTTTGTTGCAGTGCACGGGCTTCTCACTGTGGTGGCTTCTCTCGTTGTGGACCATGGGCTCTAGGTGTGTGTGCTTCAGTAGTTGTGGCAAGCGGGCTCAGTAGTTGTGGCTCACGGGCTCTAGAGCACAAGCTCAGTAGTTGTGGCACATGGGCTTAGTTACTCTGTGGCATGTGGGATATTCCTGGACCAGGGATCGAACCCCGTGTCCCCTGCACTGGCAGGCAGATTCTCAACCACTGTGCCGCCAGGAAGCCCCCCGGGCTTTCTTTCTTTCTTTTTTTTTTTTTTTGCGGTATGCGGGCCTCTCACTGTCGCGGCCTCTCCTGTTGCGGAGCACAGGCTCCAGACGCGCAGGCTCAGCGGCCATGGCTCACGGGCCCAGCCACTCCGCGGCATGTGGGATCCTCCCAGACTGGGGCACAAACCCGTGTGCCCTGCATCGGCAGGTGGACTCTCAACCACTGCGCCACCAGGGAAGCCCCCCGGGCTTTCTTTTTAATTGCAGTGAGCAGGGCTACGCTTCACTGCAGTGTGCAGGCCTCTCATTAAGGTGGCTTCTCTTGTTGCAGAGCACAGGCTCTAGGAGCGCAGGCTTCAGTAATTGTGGCAATGGGCTCAGCAGCTGTGGCTCGTGGGCTCTAGAGCGCAGGTTCAGTAGTTGTGGCACACAGGCTTAGTTGCTCCACGGCATGTGGGATCTTCCTGGATCAGGGATGGAACCTGTATCCCCTGCACTGGCAGGCATATTCTTAACCACTGTGCTACCAGGGAAGTACCGGAAAGGACATTCTTTTGATAACAATACAAAAGAAGGATAATATGAGAAGGTCCTATACTTTTCCTATATCACTTATGAACAAGGATACAAAAATTCCAAATAATATTAGAGGGAGGTGGGGGAGAGATAAATTAGGAGTTTGGGATTAACATATACATACTACTATATATAAAGTAGGTACACAACAAAGACCTGTAGTTCACTGTATAGCGCAGTGAACTACACTCAGTATTTTGTAGTGACCTATAATGGAAAAGAATCTGAGAAAAAAAAAATATATATATGTATAACTGAATCACTTTGCTGTACAACTGAAACTAACACAACATTGTAAATTAACTATACTTCAATAAAAAATAAAATAAAAAAGAAGATAATGAAATAACATCATTAACTGTACTGAAAAAAACTGTCAAACTAGAATTCTATGCCCAATGAAAACACTTTCAAAAATGAAAGTGAAATAGACTTTTTCAGACAAAAGCTGAGACTCTGTCTCTAGCAGACCTGCACTAAAGAAATGCTAAAGTTGTTCAAGCAGAAAGGAAATGATACCAGAAGGTAACTCAGATCTTCACAAAAGGAAGAATACTAGAAATGG